AGTGAGGCAGTGAGCAAAGTTTTCTGACCTTAAGGCACTAAGTACTCTTAAATAATATTCTATCAACATGTACCTGTGGGGGTAACAGAATACAACATTGGACGCATCATCCCTAAAGTCCCATCCCTTGCCCTCAGCACACCATCACATCAAAGACTGATAGGCAAATGAAGAGAAACAGCGGAAACATTTATTTGTATGTGGTGATGAGTTAAACAAGTGCCTTTAAAGTGAACCGGCTTTTGAAAGTCCTTAATACAAAAAGGAGGAAAGGGCTGGCTTTCTACAAAACCTGTGAGATGGGATTCAGGGAAACACTAAGAAATGTGCTATTGCTTTTCTTTTTAAAGTGAAGGCAAAAAGTCACAGTCTATTTCTCACCGTCAAATTGGGAATGTTTATGCCATTAAAATCAACAGCACGATTCTTATCGTTTGGCTCTCAGATGGCAGTGTAGTCGATATGAGGGGGCTTCACGAAGTTTGTGGAAGCTCCTTGGATCTATCAAGAATACAGTTTCGAAACTACTCCTTAAGCTCTTTGGCATCATTTGGTCATTTCCATTGTGTTCAATTCACTCATTCAGTATGTTAACATACACGTATCCAAGAAAATACAATGAGCCCACGTTTACTCAATCAGGATCGAGGAATAAATGATCAATTTCTTTTACCTTATTGCAAACAGAATTGTAAGACTTTGTGTTTCTGTGACAAAGATAATCTATGCCAACTACAGGGACATATCCAACTAGATTTTTTATTAAAGTACCATTACATGAAACATCGCTTTTCAATGACTAGATACTTTTCTGTGTTTAAGCAGAAGAGGCAAGTTTCAGCTGGAAGAAAATCATGCTGGCTGAAGCGATTCTGAATTTCAATCACACCATATACTCTTCTGGGCTTCGGATTTGGTGAGTCTGGGTACCCAGAGTTGCATGTCAGTTTGTAAAAGGTTAGAGATTACTTGCTTTATTTTGGGACACTGCTAGTTTTCCTCTTGAAGCATTTTCTCAATTTCTTTATCCCAATTTTCATCTCGTTTCTCAGACTCTGTCACCACTTCATATTCCTGGAGCTCCTGCTGTAGCTCTTTTTCCCAATCGGCAGCATCATCTGCGAGAGACCAACAAGAAGTGACCGTCTGTTATGATTTCAGTCACCTGCCACAATGCCTGTTGGTCTCAGCCATGGTTGGTAATTACCGTATATACTTGAGTGTAAGCCGACCCGAATATCAGCCACGGCACCTAATTTTAACACAAAAACTGCATTTAAAAATGTGGTGAAAAAAACTCGGCTTCTACACAAGTATAAGCGGTCGCCTACTATGTCACTGTGTGGGGCTCAGATAAATGGGACCACTTTATTTTAATGACTGAAGAGAAACATCGTTGGTATAGAAGCAAAGGAATGCTGTGGCACCAAGAATCTTTGGATGTTACTTGGCTTTCTCTAGGCCTCTGCCTTTTGTTTTGTTAATAAGTAAATTTTGCTCACAAGTCTGTTTCTCCCACTCCCAAGGCCAGCGGGCAGCAGACTCACTAGGGACTGCTGAGCACACCAGGCAGCCCCTGGGTCAAGAGCATGCTTTTCATCCCCAGAACCTTCAGACACACTGTACAGATGGGCAGGGGGCAGGCACACAGAGGTTGCGACATTAAGTGACTTTCCCAAGATCACACTACTTGGCAGCCAGGCAACACGTTCAGGCACAGAGTCCAGGCCTTCCCTTTCATTTGCTGCGTTTCCCGGCCAGCTCCTCATGCCTGAGTTCCCAACCTCCTCCCCCAGAGTCTCCCCGCCCCCAAGTGTGGAAAGAAGTTTCAGGTGCAACGTGACGGGGCTAGCTCCCTCGTGGGACATGCAGCTCCGGTCAGCCGTACATGCCGCTGCTGTGCGCACCTGTGGGAACAGCTGGCTTCCTGAAGGCCCTGAACACACCTGAGAGGGCAGCTTGAGACATGCGTT